GAAGCAAAGCCCAAACCACACCCACTGCAGTGAAGTCGATTCCGACTCACAGCGCCCCTAGAGGACAGAGTGGAACTGCACCACAGGGTTTCCAAGGCTGCAATCCTTAGGGAAGCAGACTGCCTCCTCTTTCTGTGGTGGAGGGCATGGTGGGTTTGAACCGTCCACCTTTTGGTTAGCACCCAAATGCCTTCACCATTGTGCCACCAGGACTCCTGTTTACTGGGTAGAGTTCAGTAATTTCTTTAAAAATCAATGCAGAAGAAAACAGTAAAATATAACAGGATGATTGGAACACAGGGAAGCAGCCGTCCTAAGGATCACAATGTTGATCTTTTGTTTGTTTGTTTCCTTGTCAATTTTGGCTCAAAGAGTGTGGAAGTCCTGGCAAGTGAGGGGTCCGGATGCGTGTGCACGTGCATGTGTGTGGAGACAGTCACCCTTTCGATTAAGGGGTCAGGGGAGTGATGTTTGAGGAGACCTGGAGGTTAAGGAGGGGGCCTCCAATGAAGGCTGGAAGGGGAAACGGTGTGGCGCCCAAGTAGCTGGTGCTTCTGTAATAGGAGAGCCACGAGTGGGGGGTTTAATGAACAGAGTTGTATTTTCTCACTGTTTGTTCCTGTTGTTGGGTGCCGTCAAGTCAGGCCTGACCCACAGCGACCCTGTGTCCAACGGACGAAGTACCGTGCGGTCCTGTGCCCGCCTCACGCTCGTGGCGACGCTTCAGCCCCTGTTGCAGCCGCTGGGTCAGTCTGCCTCCTTGAGGGTCTTCCTCTTTCCCTGACCCTCTACTTCACCAAGCCAGGGGCTGGTCCTTCCTGACCACCGTCCAAAGCATGCAAGACCAAGGCTTCCTACTTCCTCGTTTCAAAGGAGCCTCTGGCTGTACTTCTGCCAACACGTTTGTTCATTCCTCGCGCCGTCCCTGGTACATTCAGGACTTTTTGTCAACCCACAATTCAAATGCGTCAGCACCTCTTCAATCTTCCTCATTCATTGTCCAGCTCACACACAGAGGAGGCTATTGAAAATGCCAGGCGTGGGTCGGGCCAACCGTAGTCTTCAAAGTGACGCCTCTGCTCCTTAACACTTCAAAGAGGTCTTTTGCAACAGGCTTGCCCAGTGCACTACATCATTTGATTTCTTGATGCCGCCTCCACGGGCGTTGAGCGTGGATCTAAGTGAAATGAAATCCTTGACAACTTTCACCTTCTCTCCATTTATTGTTCAGTTGTGAGGACTTTTGTTTTCAGTTTTTGACAAACTGTCAGACGAATGGTAGGCTCTTTTTTTTTTTTTT